CTCTCTCTCTCTCTCTCTCTCTCTCTCTCTCTCTCTCTCTCTCTCTCTCACACACACACACACACACACACACACACACCTTTATGGTCTTTCTATCATCTCTCATCTTTTCTTACCTCATCCAGGTGTATCCATTCTGTCTCTCTTGACGTCTTCCTTCTAACTAACTTTATTTTTCCCCTTACAGCTTGTATACCCCAGCAAAAATCTTCCAAGCAGTATAAAAATTACAATGTTACATTCTATTATTAAATGATTACAGTAAACACAGGTGAAAAATAACACATTTCTCATATCCCTTACATTATTAAACATTTTACGAATTACAGGTGAAAGACAAATTATCTCCAAGAATCACATACATTCATGTCCAGGAAACTTGTTATATAGATTAACATAGCATAAGCAAACAAAGTATTTTTCTCAGTCAATTCTTTTACAGGCAGGCTGCATTTTTGTGGTCACAAAGAAAGGATCGATCATTTTATTATTTACTTTAAAAGGTAATCTTACAAAAAAAATCTTAAAGGAATCACAAATCGAAACTTTTATGAAAAACAGTCAGCTCTACTTTAAATCCTCAGGGTGTGTACCCACTCATCAACAGGTTTTTGTTTTTTTTTGGTTTTGTTTTTTTTGTTGTTTTGTTTGTTTGTTTTTTGTTTTTCCGAGACAGGGTTTCTCTGTGTGACATCCCTTGCTGTCCTGGAATAGCTCTTACAGACCAGGCTGGCCTGGAACTCACAGAGATTCGCCTGCCTCTGCCTCCCGACTGCTGGGATTAAAGGCGTGCCACCACCACCTGGTTGGAAGTGGCTATACTTTGGTTTTGCTTGCACTGAATTCCAGACTAAGAAATACACCTCGGAAAATAGAAAGTGGCAGACTTTGGGGGGTGGGGGCTGCAGTGACAGCAAACACAAAGATAACCAATGGATGGCTCAGAGGTTGAAGGCCCTCACTGACAAAACCTGAAACCTGAATGGTTGAAAGCGAGCACACACTAGAGCATGTAATACTACTTTTATAAAATCAAAACTCTTAACTATGTATCTGTTCTTTTGGCTGGAAAGCATTTTTGTGTCTGGTTACGGATGCTTTGACAACAATGAATGCTGAATTGACATTGAAGCCCAATTCGTGGTTGTTCTGTCCTCACTTTGTCAAATGTGTGCTACCACAAACACTGACTGCTCTCTCATTTTCTCTCCATCATCCACAGCTTTCCAATGGGGGGAAAAAAAAACCAATGAGGAGAGTAGAAAAATGGCACCAATCTTCAAAACCAAACAAACTCATCTATTCCATTATTATGGCCTTGAATCTGCCAGTGATCCTTCACCTCCCAAGTGCTTGAAGCACCATCACCCTTGATGTTATGTAGTGCTGGTGAACTGAAAAGGCTTTGGGTAATATAGACCCTTATAAACTGAGCTACACCCCCACCCCCAAGGCAATAGACAATGGCTCTTTGATTTGAAGACAGAGTCTCACTGTGTAGACCCAGCTGGCCTAGAACTCACTATGACGTAGACCAATCAGGATGGCTGAGAACTCCCAGAGACTCACCTGCCTCTGCCTAAAGTCATTTGCCATCGTGCCCAGATTTAGAGAAGGATTTTTGTGGACTGTCCAACAGGATAATTCTGTTTATAAATATATGCACCTTCATGTCTCGACCTGGCTCTGTTACCCCTTTGGGACCAGGGGAGAAAAAGTGTGTTTGTGGCTTCCAACATGTCCGCCCCCAACCAAGCTTGTAGTCCAAAGCTGTGCCAATCAACTGTAGCCTTAGCTATCCCCATGCCTACCTTTGCCTTCCACTCTGGTGTCTACAGTTGAGGGTTTTCTTGCTTTTGTTTTATTTTGAGATAGCCATAAACAGAACAAATGAAGACAAATGAACCAAGTTACTTTTTTCTTTTATTGAGTAAACAAGAAGGCGGATAAAGATAGACAAAACCAAGGCACAAAGCATTTTAAAAACTGGGGGTTTGTGAAGCAAGGATCTGGGTATTCTATAGTAAAACACAATGGGAGTAACAACTGAATTGATCCATGAGTGCTGTCACTAACGAGGTCAGTGATTCTCATTGTAGTATACTGGAGAGTACTGGTTGTTTGCTTTGTATCTGAAGGTTATTACCGGCACTGAGTAGATGCAACCTGAGGCAGAACAAGTGTTCTGCTGTGTGTGGATGGGACAGTCCCACACACTTGTTCTGCACCTTTGCGACTATCTAATGTCCTGCTGGACATTTATGCAGGACCTACAGTTTGTCTGGGAGAGAACATCTGGTTTCCGAGACAAAATGTAATTTGTCCTGTCTTATTATCAATTAAGGTGATTCCGCCCTTCCCTTCACCATAGACAGGTAAGCAGCACAGTCTGCTATGGTGTACCCTAATGCCATCTGGTTTGTGTCACTGAGTCCTTCCAGCTTTCATTTCCCTGTACTTCTGTACTCCTGCACTGCTGAACTCTTAAGCCCAAACCTATTCATAGTGAGAGTTGACATCTCTTTCAAAACCTATAGCATAGTCATGCCTGAGCACTTACATGCTGTGTGTTCATTACATCTATGTTTCATTTTCATTACAAAACAGGTAGGGCACTAAATTAAGTTTTAATAAACTCATATGTAGACCGTATTACCTATAAATCATCTCAAGATGGCCAAAAGGTGCTATAAAAAAGATCTACATTTAAAAGGGTGAACAGGTGTGGTAGGGTCTATGGTTGTCATAACTGTGGGCGAGGGCGCTACTGGCATTTAGCATGTGAGAGCCAACTACGGATCTTGCGACCTATTGGGCAGTTCCTCACAAGAAGAAATTACTTTGCGCCCTATTCGAGTTTTGAATGTCTCAGACATTCACGTACGACATATATATATATATATAATATATATATATATATTATATATATATATTGTCTGAACAAATCTGTAAGTTCTTTTGTACAGTATCTTTATTACAATAAAGGTATTTCGTTCTTACCATGAACAGATAGTGCTGACATTTGCAAATGACTTATGTCATTAGTTTTTACTCTAATGTCCACACACGTCCCTGATTTTTCATGTTCAGCCAATTCCTTTCTTCTAAGCTCACACTGATTCATGGTAAATGTAGGCATCTGACGACTCCATTATGTCTTAGTACTGTAAAGTCGTGCCGGAGTTACGGCCTTGTATTTCCCTCTTAAATTATATTAACTTTTTTTAATTAATGGAGTTATATGGAGAATATATGTCTGAATTGCACTTTAGAGATTAAAACAGATATTGCTTGTGCGGGGAGGGGTGGGAACCCCGACAGAACAGTTCACTGAGACCCACAGAATTGAACTAGGTGCTTCAGAATGGGCTTAGGAACGACTCAGACTGGGGGAAGCTAGGAGCCTGGGAGGAATTCTAGCTTTCTGCTTGTGTATCAGGGAGCAAGTGATACTGTTTATGGGGTTGGGGCAGGTGAATCTTTGGGGGTGAATCACTTTGAAGCAGGCAAATAGAGTGTTCCATTTTGAGCCTGTTGAACTGGAGATGGCAGGTAAATATCCAACTAGAAGTTAGCTTGCCAAGTAGTTAGATGCACTACGTGTCTACAGTATGAAGTCTATGTCAGAGAATGAGTATTCCAAAATAGAAGATACCACGTGAGAAAAAGAAAAGAAAAATCAGTGAATTAAAAAAGAAAAATTGTGGCAATGAATGACAAGAATCCCACTCTAAAAAATTCTCAATATATCATTATTGGAGACTTTCAAAGTAAAGCAACTGATGAAAAATCTGATCAAATGCCCATTAACGATGAACATGTCTGCTGGAAGAAAATGTAACAGGAAAGGAAAAAATATGCCAGGAAACTCTGGCAACTGGGACAGAACGTTGAGAAAGGGAGGTTGGAAGGAAGGACCTGATCTGTACACAGTAAGCAAGGAAAAAAAATTGGTCCGGGCGTCCTAAATGCTCTAAAAAACCCACACCCACTATGCTTTCAAAAAGATGTGGCTAACAGTAAAGGTCTATGTGGGACACTGCTTTCTCTGCACTGCTTTGCGCTCACCAACAAACCAGTCTTGCCTCCTTACAAGGCCCTTCCAACAGGGAAGGCCTTTCCTGGCTTCTGACAACCCTTCTGTCACTGTACACAAATCCCAATAACACTAGGTTTTATCAGTACTGCAACTTAATCTTACTAAAAAAATCCGGATGATTACACAAAAGCCTGCAAGAAGCATCCTCTGTAATCACATGAATTAGAACTCGGATACCAAGAGCCTCAATGGACAATTAACTCCAGTTAGTTGCTTCTGAACTATACTTAGGGGTGCTTATCACTGTATTTCAGAGTCAACTCCATGGAGTCTGTCTTCTAAGTAAATGCAGAGAGACAGAAATGTGTTCCTCAGGTCAGTTTCATCGCATGGTAATATATAGTATTGCGTACTGCTTTTGTGTCTCAATATCGTTTAAATTTAACCTTTAAACTTTTTTCCTCAGCAAGTTTTCTACTCAAAGCTGCAATGTCTTCTTATATGTCCCTATTTCCATAAACATTATTACATGTCTCTCAAATTTCTCAAACTAATATCCAGTTCAAATTAAGCGAAACCGAAACAATGCTACCTACATACACAATAAAAACAAAGAGTAGATGGGAAAGATAAGATTACAGACAATTTAGAAACCAGCCTCACTAGGAATGTAAGACAACGAAATCTTTTCAAAATGCTGGAGTCATGGGGGCAATTTTTACAAAAAAACTGCCTGGCCAGGGACTGTGAATCTGGAGAGAAGTTTGAGAATGGCTGATTTAAGACGTTAGGTAATGTAGCAAGGAAATGCAAAAGTCTAACTACTGTCTGGGGATGGTTTGGTCCTAGAAGTCAACATAAAGGCTTCGACGCGGCAGTATACATCGTTTTCTAACTAATTATGCAGGCTTTCTCTTTCTCTAGCTCCGTGTACTCAATCACATACGCTGGGTAAATCTGCTCTTTCTGGAAGATGACAAAGACCGAGGGATTCAACCTGCTATCCACACAGCTGTCATAGAGGGCGGGAGCGCTACTGTATCTCATATTTCCTTCAATGGAATTTCCAGCCAAGACTCGGGCGACAAGCATAACAATGTTTTTGGCCTCATATGAACAATTCTTGTGGGAATACATGGCTTCTTTTGCAAAGTAATTTCCTAGAAATAACCAGAAAAAGTGGTAAATTGTTATTTATCAATGAGTATAGGTTATAACGGGATACAGAGAAGCAGACATTGGTATGGGTGAAAAACATCTGCCAATAACACTTACTACTATCCCACCACCTGTCTGTGACCAATAGCTCCAGCTGTCATTGCTACCTACCCCCCTCCTTCCTAGTTGTCCCCAGCACCTCAGTTTGTCATTGTTTTATTTTATCTAGGACAAGGTCTCGCTAGGTAGTGCTAGCTGTCCTGGAACTCTCTATGTGAACCAGGCTAAACTCAAACTCAAGCGATCTTCCTGCTTCTGCTTCCCAAGTACGGAGATTAAAAACATGCGCCACCATTCCCAGGTAGTTTGTATTATTTTTCCCTGAGACAGGTCTGGTCCCCGCCACAGAATTCTACACTGTACTATGCTGCCGGGTCTGACTACGTCACATTCCTCAAACACCCACAAAGAGTGAATGATTCCTCAACAAAAAAAAAGGAGGGCAAACCTCTTTAAAAATAAAAATGTGGCTGACATGAGAAGGGGCCTTGCTCTGTAGAACAGGCTGGCCTCAAATTCACAGAGATCTGCCTGCCTCTGTCTCCCCAGTGCTGAGATTAAAGGCGTGCCCCACCAACTCCCGGCCCCTCTTCCCATTCTTAACTGGAATCCATTGGTGACAACAGAAAGATAGTTTGAAAAGCTCTGCAGTCACAGACATAGGACAGGAAGAGCCATCTCCAGTAAGTGCTAACGGCAGACAATACAGCCAGTAGATGGAGCAGTTTACAAGAATGAAGACCTTCAGTTGTCCCCAGAGAGAAACAAGACCGAAGACCTAGAGCCAAGGCCTAACACCCACACCCCCAAGTCAAGAGACCTGTCCTAACACAGGCTGAAGGTAACTTAGCTTCTTTTCTTCCAGGGCCACCAGAGCCCAGACATGCAAGTTTACAAACTAATGCCAAGAACATCTCAACAAAAGCATGTGCGGAGCTGGAATCATGGCTGTCTCTAGCCCAGCACAAACCTTTTCCATATTTGGTCTCCCGACTATCATTTATGATCCAGTCGAAATTATTTCTACAGATATAATCCACATGAACACGGCATGTTGCATGAAACAGCAGCATCTCATTGTCATTCTTCATCATCAGCTTCTTCCTAATATACAGAAATGTGAGATTCAGTACCAAGAAACTGGGCCAGCAAGATGGCTGCCGCTGAGCATGAGAGCCTGGGTTCAATCGTCTGGACCCACGTGGGCAGACCCAATGACTCCAGCAAGTTGCCTTATGACATGCATGCATGCCCCGCACCCTAGTACCAAATAAATGTGAAAATAAAATGAGCCCTCTTAGTATACTTTAACTACACAGTCCCAAACAAGGTCTGATTATGTCACCTTTCAAAAGTTTCCCAGAGGTCTTGATTCCATATCCTCTTTATCGATACAATCTTGAAATATTTCATGGATGCTTTAAAAAGTTCACTTATCGTGGCATATTCCACATCCTGGCTATCAAGCTCTACCAACTGAAAAAAAAAATTAGATGCTTAAATGTAAACTAGGAAATACTAAAAACATGCTATGTTCACACATGTGGCCACCACCCTCCCCCCCCATGCCATGAACACCATTGCTGTTCTCCAGTGAGACAGGCTGGCTTAGTGTGTCCATATCTAACTTCTTGTTCATTCTAGTAATGAACCAACAGGCATGTGCACTTTTCTGTTTATATGTGACTTAGTCCAGAGACCCAGAAAGCCCAAACTCCAAAACCGACCAGTGACAGAGCCATCCATCAGAAGTACCTATGGAACACAAACAGACCAGAGCCAGTTGTGAAGGCTAGACAGACTAGAAATGGTCTCGTCCCAGCCAGGCTGGTGACAAAGTGAGGCACACAGAGCTAGGCAACTATGATTCTCTGAGTTCCGGTTACATCCTCAGCAGCGTTGTTATGGTCTCACGGGGTTACCCTAAGGAACCCGCCTCACATCCTCAGCAGTGTTGTTATGGTCTCACGGGGTCACCCTAAGGAACCTGCCTAAGTGGCACTGCATCCCTGAACACGGGGAGATGCCCTGGGAAAGTGTCACAATCCTACCTAGACGCCTGTCTTTAATCTGGAGTTAATGCGGAAGCACTCATTCACTCCAATAACGAACCCAAACACTTTCTGCCAAGCATGTAAAACAAGTAAAACCAAGTACCTCGTATCTGTTAGAAGGAAACGGAAACGTGCCAGTGTCCCTCAGGGGAGGAGAATCCAGGGTCAAAGCCTCTACCGCAGGCATCACTGGCTGCCGGCTACAAATAAAGACAGAAGGAAAATTCACTGGGTTCCCTTTCTTTCTACCCTCAACAGGCAGCCAGAAAGTCAAGACTTCCTGGGAAATGCATTGTTGACACCCCGGAAAATCCCTGGTTCCAGTAACCACAGCTTTTAAAAAGGGCATTATTAAGTAATATAAACGCACAAGTCACCACGCCTGGCAATTTTGAGGACTAGTTGGGTCCAGACTGGATTTTGGTCAAGAATGCGGCACAAGGGATTTTCTTATTGCAATAAATAACATCTTACTGTCCTGTTTACTGACATTAAGGGGTGTCTGCAGTTATTCCTGTCTCCCACCTGACCTGTCGCCCTGAAATACAGTTTCTACAGAAAGGAAGATCCTTCCCATTGTGTCTTTCTAAATTAGCTGTCTATCATCTGGCAAGGAAGTCACAAGGCACACATGAGTGCACAAACACTCTGTCATGCACGTGCGCACACACAAGGTCAGGGGACAAACTGAAGAGTCTGTTCTGTCATTTATTAGCCGGGCGTTGTTGGCACATGCCTTTAATCCTAGCACTCAGGAGGCAGAGGCAGGTAGACCTCTATGAGTTCAAAGTCAGCCTGTCTACAAAGTGAGTTCCAGGGCAGCCAGGGTCACACTAAGAAACCCTATCTGGAAAAACCAAAAGAGAAACAAAAGAAAGAAACAAAAAAATCCAAATTCTAAAAATCTGGCAACCGGGGCTGGAGAGATGGCTCAGAGGTTAATCGCACTGACTGCTCTTCCAGAGGTCCTGAGTTCAATTCCCAGCAACCACATGGTGGCTCACAACCATCCGTTATGACATCTGGTGCCCTCTTCTGGTGTGCAGATATACATGGAAGCAGAATGCTGTATACATAATAAATAAAATTTTTTTTAAAAAAAATCTGGAAACCAGCCTACAGAAGCCACCCATAAAATGATCCCACTGGAACACAATGGAGTATATTTTTATAAATCAAATTACCCATTTCTTTTTTAATCATATTGTAAAAACAGAGAAATTGGACATGGAGGAACATACCTCTAATCCCAGGAATTAGGAAGCAGAACCAGGCATAACTCTTGAGTTCAGAGCCAGCCCAGCCTACATATTGGATTCAAGGCCAGCTAAGACTATATAGAAGGGTGCTGGAGAGATGGCTCAGTGGTTAAGAGCTTTGGCTGCTCTTGCAGAAGACCTGGATTTAGTTCCCAGCACACACACAGCAGCTCACAACTGTCTGTAACTCCAATTCCAGGGAACCTGGCACTCTCTTTAGGCTTTCATGGGTACCAGGCAGTTGCATATATGTACATATACAGAGGCAAAATATTTGTGCACATAAAATAAAAATAAATCCTTTTCTAAAAATATAGAGGACTGGAAAGATGGCTCAGTGATTAAGAGCACTAGCTGGTCTTCCAGAGGTCCTGAGTTCAATTCCCAGCAACCATATTGTGGCTCCCAACTATCTGTCATGAGATCTGGCGTCCTCTTCTGTCGTGCACGCATACATGCATACATAATACATACATATTAAAAAAAAAAGACTACATAGAAGCCCCTATCTCAAAAACAAAAAAGAAAGAAACTATGGGGAGATGGATTGTGGAGATGGTTCCCTGGGTAAGTGGGGACCTGAGTTCAGATCCCCAGCACCCACGTAGAAAGCTATGTGTGACAGCACCCTCCGTAACACCAGCACTGGCAGGAGTGGAGATATGTGTGTCCAGAGACTCGCTGGGCGGTCCAGCTGATGTGTGGGTAACCGAGTCTCAAGACGTGAAGTGATTGAGGAGAACATACCCATGTCAACTTCTGGCCTCCACATCTATCAGAATGAGTGAGAGCACACAGACGCACGCACACATGTGCACGCACACAAAACTTTTAAAAATACAGGAGGGTACGCTTAAAGAGTTGAAAAGCAGCTTAAGGGATAAACCAGCTAAACGTAATATACACAGACCTTGTTTGGATATGATAGGGGATAAATCAACTCTCAAAGGGCATTTCAAAGAGAATGGGAAAACTGAACATGACTCGGGCATCATTACACGCCATTTAATTAATTACTGTCAGCCATTTAATTAATTACTGTCAGTTTTGTTAGATGTCCACATGTGTCATCACAGAGCCTAACACCAAGAGGAATAAAAGTAATGATCAGAAGTGTTGTTACTGTTCCCAGGGTCTGAAGGTGGAGCTCAGAAGTGTAGCTGTCAGACATATTATGTGGTGGTGGTGTGGGGTGTGTGTGTGTGTGTGTGTGTGTGTGGTGGGCGGTGTGGTTCATCTGCAGGGTGTGAACTCAGGTGACCAGCACTGGGTCTTAGACCTGGTCAAAGCGTAGGCACTGAACCATCCTGCAGTACTGGCACCTACATCCTCCCGGACACCACCCCCTGCCCTCTCCACGTTCGAGCTCTTTCTAGATGTTATTTCCTGCGTTCCTAATGGCAATCCATCCACCTTGGACTCTTACAACCACAAGAATTTACAACAGCTTGATTTGACACCCGCCTTGAAACCTGATTCATATAATCACACATCCCCCGGGGGGAAAAAATCCAACTGCAAAGTTTGTGAACAATGAGATTTTACTGAGTTTCACAGCAGATAGGCAAGTTACAATCAATTCCCCACAGCAAAACCCACCTTGAAATGCCCCACTGGTACAACGATTACAAGTCAATTAAAACTAAAGCCAACGCATTTAGTCAACTTTCTCCAAAGCCCTTAATCAGGATGCTAGCTCAAGCCTTTTCCCCAGCTTCCTGCTCTCTATAAACCACACCAAAGACAGAAAGAAAACGCACAGCAAAACAAAAATTCACTGTATACAGTACTTTCGTAGGCACACTCCTCAATCCAGTCAGTCACAGTTGGAGTAGATGAGGCCCAGAATATGGATGAGACCTGCCCAGAAATCCCCTGTGACTGTGAGTTAAGGGCAAATGCTGCTTTCCTGGTACAGTATCCCTCCCACTCTATACCCGAAATCCAAGGCCTAATAAAAAGGCTTATCAATGCAACCTGCTCCCCTGGACTCCTAACCTGAGCCTTTTACCCATGCCTAACAATAAAACAAAAGCAGGAACTTTCCAAGAACACAGACCCCGGATGCACGGTGCATGGTTGCAGCGCAGCAAGGTCAGGGCCAGGGCATCTCAGACACCTGCCCGCTAACCAGCTTCGGAACACTTACTCTGCACCTCTTCTCCTCCGCTCCACATCCTTCCACGCAACGAACACTGGCCGTCTGACTACACGTCTTTGAGTCTTGGAAGCTATGTTTGTCTGAATCATCCCTATAGACAGAAAAAATACAATAAAAATCAAGACTTGATCCTAGAAAATGACTTTTTCTTTTTCCCCAGAGGCCATTTGTATAGCTAACATTCATGACCAAATCTTAAATGTACAAGTGGAGAATGGTTTTAGATAAAAACAAACAAACAAAAACACATAAACTATAGAATGCTGTTTTCAGTTGCAGACCTGGCTCAAAATTCTAAGAGTGACCCTTTTCAAAAAGCAAATTACTGTATATTGTTAGAGTATAAAATAATATCTCACTTGGAAATTAAACAGCTTCTCATAAAGCCAAACATATCCAAAAGCCCTACCCAAAGAAATGAAAACCTGTACCTACAAAAAGACCAGCAAGTAAGTGTTCCCAGGCATTATTGCAACCAAACATTGAAAAACAAGCCTGATGTCCACAAACTGATGAATGAAATAAACTATGGTATGTGTTTATAATAGAATGTTATTCAGCAAATAAAAGTGAAGAACTAGTATATTTGCAGCAACACAAATGATTTTTACAGCCATTATTTTGAGTGAAAGAACCCAGCAAATGTATATACTTTAAGAAATCTATTAATGCCGGGCATTGGTGGCACACACCTTTAATCCCAGCACTTGGGAGGCAGTGGCAGTCAGATCTCTGAGGGTTCAAGGCCAGTCTGGTCTACAGAGTGAGTTCCAGGATAGCCTCCAGAGAGAGAGAGAGAGAGAGAGAGAGAGAGAGAGAGAGAGAAATTGACCTATAGGAACTTAAAGCAAAGCACCCATAGCTTGTCACAGAGTAAAAGATGGGGCCAGAGGCTGTAGAAAAAGGCAGGACAAACTTTCTGGACAGATGGAAATGTTTTGTGTTTTCACTAGAGGGGTTGTCACATGAAGGTACTCATCAATATTCAACCAACTGTGTAAGCGAAATGGATCATTTTGCTGAGACAATTAAGACAGGGTGATATAACAAAACAAACATAACATTACAAGGGCAAATAGGATCTTGTAGGGATGCTGCTCAATCCTCCCACGGCTCTGATGTTGGGGGGGGGCTGGAGAGATGGCTCAGTGATTAAGAGCACTGGCTGCTCATCCGATGGACCCACGTTCCATTCCCCTCACCTACATAGTAGCTCATAAATGGCTAACTCCAGTTCTGGGGGTTCTGATACCCTCTTCTGGCCTCCATGGACGCCAGGCACCATACGGCACAGAATTTTATTGCATGCAGGCAAAATATCCATACATATATAAATTTTTAAAAAATTTAAACCAAGGACTTAAGAGATGGCTCGGGGACTAACAGTGTTTGCTGTTCTTGCAGCATCCACATTAAAAATCAATTTATACTTTCAAATGAAACGTACAAAACAGAAAATAAGATAAATTTGAAATACAATAGTTTTGTTTGTTTTGCTTTTGGGGGGGTTATTTTGAGACATGGGGTCTCACTATGCATCCCTAATAGCCACGGGAACTCTCCTGCCTCTGCCTCTCAAGTGCAAGGGATTATAAAGATGGGTTTTTCTGTGTCCTCGCTCTCCTGGAACTCACTTCGTAGACAAGGATGTCCTTGAAATGCACTGAGAGTCTGCCTGCCTCTGCCTCCCAAGTGCTGGGATTAAAGGTGTGCGCCACCAATGCCCAGCCACTTTTTCTTTTTTTGTTTTGGTTTGGCTTTTTCAAAACAGGGTTTCTCTGTGAAACAGTCCTGGCTGTCCTGGAACTCAACTCTGTAGACCAGGCTGGCCTCAAACTCACAGCTGCCTCTGCCTCCCTAGGGGGACATTTTTAAATTGTTAATTGTGTGGAAGGGCCCAAGTCACTGTGGGCTGTGCCATACCCAGGCAGATGGCACTGTTCTGAGAAGGAAAGGTGACTGGGCAACCTGGGGAAAGCAGGCCAGTAAGCAGCACGCCTCCATGGCTTCTGCCTCAGGCTGGAGTCCTGGCCTCCCTGAGCCCAGTTTGCTTTTGGTCTCACAGATGCAGAATAAGACAACTACCCCACTAACATTTAACTCTCAAGTTTATTTACTCCCCGTTTTTTCTAGTGGACACAGAGGAAGCAGTGGGCATGGTTCAGCATGTCTTGGTGTGAAGGCCGGGTTGAGTTCCAAAACGTCTGGTACAATATAGGCCCTAAAGTTGCATTGTTTGTGACACAATAGGCAGCTTAGGACTCAAAATCAGAGACTACCAGGAAAGGACTTGAGAAAGTATCACTTCTTCAAACCTGGCCCTGAAAGGGCAAGTGTCTTGCTACAAGCAGGCATACCCCCGAGGCTGGATGCCAGAGGGACAGTACTTTCAAAGGGAAGTTGGTCTCATTTCTTTCTCACTCAACATAACACCAGGAAGACTGGTGGAAGCTACCAAGACCTTCCTATGGAGGTTCAAATAAACATGGTGGCAAGCCATGTACCTGAGTGGAGGCGATAAATTAAATCACTGATTAAGGGCAGGGCAGAAAGCCAAGAGCAACTTTCTAAATGTCTAAGGTGCCCAGAGTACCAAGACTCTATTGCAGTCATCGGTAACTAAATAGCACACCCGCCCCCAAATCAGAAACACAGGAGCTGAAGAGCCCATGGAGACTTCTTGTCCAAACTTCTGATCTCCCAGGAGAGAAGGGGCAGGAGTCAGAATACGGATCTGATGGCCACCAACTGACACTTTCAGAGACAGTTCCCATGCTGAAAAGGGCCCTTGAACCTGGGTGTGGCCATGAGCACGGACTGTCAGTGCCAGAGTCCACAGACATTCCACACCACCAAAGACGAGAACTCACCTTGGAAGCTTAATTCGTAGTTTTGTGAACCGGCCTGAAACGGCAAAACTCCCCTAGGACAGGACTGGAAGAAGGACTCCAGGTATGAAGAGCTGATGTTGGAACTGAGATGGCTTTTATTCTATTCACAGAAAAAGTTGAGAACACACAGGTAAAGACTTGAGGGTAGATTTTCGGGGAATCTCTACTGTTCCATCTTACACAGTTTAGTTTGCCTTTAGCGATGGATGGGATTAGGGAGGCATGCTGTCTCCCAAGTCAGGCTTAAGAACTTCCCAGAGGACACCAAGTCAGTGCTGGAGAAAGCATAATTCTGTAGAAACCGACCATTCTTTCGGAGAGTGCCTGAAGACCATGACTGCGATATTCTTTTTACACCATCTACACAACAAAAACCCATCTGCACCCACTGTGACAGAATTCGATAGTCTTGTGTGGATCAGAACATCTTGGGCAGTTAGTTTGGAATTGTAATAAAGGAGAATCAAGAAGCCTTTCCAATACTCCCTCTTAAATTCGAAGCTTCAATAGGGATGCTGCTCAAATATAAATAACCTGGCTCTTTCCTCTGCATTCAACCACAATAAATAGCATGAGCAGACCTCCAGCCAGGCAGCTACACTGAAGATGCATTGGGCTTACTACCCACTGAGGCTGTTATGAAAGGGGCTTGGATAATCAAGAAACATAGACCTTGTCTCTAGTTTCAAGGCATCTAGGAAGGATGTAAACCTCAGGACGGGTGGGGAAAGACATGCGTCAAAACTAAGCTACCATTCCACCATATCCATCCTGCAGCAAGCGCAGACCGGATGTAAAACCCTAGACTCAGGGCCTCCCAACAGAACAAACAGGTGCAAAACATTCCCTGAGAACTAGAGCAAAGGGGATGAAGACTGCAATCCTGCCAGCTACCTACATGGGGAGGGGCCTAGCAAATGCCCATCAGGAGAGGGCACTGGAGCAGAAATACTCGAGGAAAATACCTTAGGGCCTTGGGCCTACGTGCTCTCCCAGTCCTGTAGACCAGCAGGGCTAGAGGAGGAACATTTGGGTTCAAAGGCTTTCACATAATGCAGAGTGGGAGATGGAGCCAAGACAAAAGGTAGAAGATTTCTAAGCTTCAGCCTCCAGTGATGACGTCAAGCCACTAATACAGAAGTGGTTGAAAAAGATCACTGCCGAGACGGGGTGGTGCCTGTTTCCCCAAGTCCCTCCTTCTGGCTCAAAGAACAGCCAAGGGGAGCACATCCTCATGAGGCTCTGAGACTTCCTACCCATCTAGATCGAAGTCTTGCATCCTCTCTGTTCAGCGTTGGCGGTCCCACCCCATTGTGCCTCAAACCACCTTTCCAGGTGGCGCACACAGGGAGCGTGCCAGACTGTGCTTCAGGAGGTGCGGGAAGGACCTGGGGTCCAGAATTTGAACACCATGGAGGCCACGCCAATGCTATTGTCTGTGAACCTCGCTTTGACTAACAAGGCTCTGGGGTCTAGTGTGCCTGAGGATAGTTATGAATGAACACAGACACAAAACCATTCTAAAAGCAATGTGAGTTTCTTAACTCTATTGCATTTGAACTCCATAGATAAAATGTGATGGTTCCACTTCCTTCTTGTTTTGTTTATCAGTTTCTAACTGTATTTTGTTTGTTTGGCTTTTTCTTGAGACGGGTTTTCTCTGTGTAGCTTTGGTGAGCCTGAAACTCACTCTGTAGACCAGGATGGCCTCGAACTCACAGAGCTCTCTACCCGCCTTTGCCTCTCAAGTGCTGGAATTAAAGGCATGTTCCACCGCCTCCGCCCTCTCTGCTTTTTAACTATGGATGTACTGTGACCAGCTGTTGAGCTCCCGAGGCTATAACCTGGAACTGAGAAATATAATAAACCCTTTCTCCTGTATATTACATTTGGTGGGGGGACGGGACTTATAACATGACAGGGTCTGGAATTCATTATGTAGACCAGGATGGCTTTGAACTCACAGTGATTCATCTACTTCCGCCAAGTGCTGAGTTTAAAGGCATGTGCCACCAGGCCTGATGTATGTGCTTTTAAAAATCTTTTGACATTTACTTAGTGGGGGGCGGTAGGGGAAGTGCACATGAGCCAGAGCCAGCTTGTGAGGGTCGGAGGACAGCTTGCAGAAGTCAGTTTTCTCCTTCCATCATGTGGTCCCAGGTATCAGAACTCTCCCACCACAGGGGAAAGCAGAAAGCAGATACAGACACACTCCTATACCCTCTTTCTGTGTTAGTAGGAGAAGAGCCAACTCAACTCATGCCACGATGAAGCCAAAAATACAAGACCTCATTCATATCTTCATGTGAACAACAAACACTTTGCATTGTGTTTATGCTCACCTAAGGTTATATATTCCAGGGCTGACAGGATGGCTCAGCTGGGGAAGTTGCTTGCTGGTAAACCCTGAATTCCCCACCCCCCAGATCCTGGGAAGAGAGACCCGACTCCTGGAAGCTGCCCTCTGACTTCCATATTCACACGTGTGCACACACACAATAAATAAATGGAATTTAGAAATAAAATTATTCCTTTAATCCCAGCATTCAGGAAGCAGAAACAGGTGGATCTCTGTGAGTTCAAGACCAGCCTGGTCTACAAGAGCTAGTTCCAGGACAGCCCCCAAAGCCACAAGGAAACCCTGTCTCGAAAAACCAAAGAAAAAAATAAAATAAAATTATCCTGAAGCCTTTGTAGCTAATGCAGTCTGAATGTACCAGAGAAAAGTCTGTACTAAGAGCTCAGAAACTTTCTTTCTTTCATTTGTTTGCTTGTTTATTTATTCGGTATAGGATCTCAATATGGAGCCCAGGCTGATACGATGACAGGTATATAACCCCATGCTTGTGGCTGAAGCTTCTTAGTGTTTCATTAGAAAATGTGATCTATAGAACTAAATGTTTAAATTACTTTTTTTTTTCCCTCAAGATAGGGCTTCTTTGTAGCTTTGGAGGTTGTCCTGGAACTTGATCAGTAGACCAGGCTGGCCTCGAACTCACCGAGATCCACCTGCCTCTGCCTCCTGAGTGCTGGGATTAAAGGCGTGCGCCACCACCACCCAGCTAAATTTCATTCATTCATTCATTCATTCATTCATTCATTCATTCGAGAGAGATGGAACTCAGGTTGTTAGGTTTGATGGCAGGCACCTTCATTACTGAACCATCTTGCTGGCTCTAAATTTGAATTTAAATACCACCTCTTCTGATAGCTCTGGTCGCTGGTACTGATGTTAGGAGGGTAGAGCTGTCTCCTGAGCTTCCTCCCTTGAACCATCTTGCTGGCTCTAAATTTGAATTTAAATACCACCTCTTCTCCTGATAGCTCTGGTTGCTAGCAGTGATATTAGGTGGGTAGAGCTGTCTCCTGAGCTTCCTCCCTTATCCAACAGAACATTAAATACCTGACTTAGGAACCACTGAGATGGTGCTGAGAGTATAGTGCAGTGGCAGACCACTTGCTTAGCATGCGTGAGACCCTAGGTTCAATTCCCAGCTCTGGCTAAAAAACACACAAGGCATGTGCTTGGGAACCACTGAGACCTACAGTTTATTTTAAATTTTCCCAAGGTTAATTAACTTGGGTTCATGGTATCGATTCCCACATGACTTAACAAAATCATTCCTATGCGACTACACTTTGACATCACACTTGGCTTGAACATAAAAAGAACTGGGAGATTTCCTGTCTCGAACGGACACAGGAGCTGTCACAGCCCATTGTGACGAGACCGCTCCTCCAAGGATGCTCCACATGCCCTATCAGGTCTGGCGTCTTCACACCAGCAACTCTGCACTGCTCCCCTTTGCTCATTTAGGTTCCTTCAAGGACTCACTGATAAATGTGTGCAGCTAAGACCTTTGGAAACCACTGTGCTGCTGAACTGACATGCAGGGCCCTTGCTTGTAGAGCGCCCCTTAGCAAGCTTGTCCCATCCACAGTGTGTCCACGGGGAACAGTAACACTTAGCAGAGACAGCGGTATCTCTACTGAGAAGTTGCTGTGCTCCCTGTGGAGGTGCTGGGGACTTTCTAATGAATGGCATTTCTTTCTTTGCCTTAGCAGCTCCATCGCCCCTCACGTCTAACTACAGGAAACCTCACACTGCCATTCCTTTGTCCTTACATGGCTCTCATTTGTTTCTCTCGAAGTCACTTTGAAGACCTTTCACTCTTAAGGATGGGCTGGAGGTGTGAGCCAGCTTTCTGTGTGTCAGTTCCAAACACAGGGCCAGCGAAGAGGGCAATACTGGGAAGTTAGGGGAGTGACAGCCATGTCTTGACAGCTGTTGCACTAGCAGAATGTCTTAAGCCACCCTACCATACAAAACACATCTGGTCACTTGTATCTGGTCAGCGTTTGGACTTAACAGAACTTGGAGAATTGGATAGAAAAGTCTAGGCCGACCCACAGTGGGGGCATAGTAAGGGGGAAGTCTGGATACACTGAGCACCTGTCCTTTTGTGTGAATGTCTCTTCCTTTGATTCATAGATTAGCAAAGTTTTTATTAATGAGACCTATTAGAACTTGTGCTAAAGTGTCACTGTGGGGTTGGGGCTTTGAGGCCTCCTATGTTCAAGCTACACCCAGTGGGGACACAGACTCTTTCTGCTGCCTGACAATCCAGGTGTATGGAGAACTCTCAGCTGCTTCTCCAGCGCCATGTCTGCCTGTCCCCCCACCATGTGGCAACACAAAGATAATGGACAGAACCTCTGAAACTGTAACACGCCACCTCCATGGAGTGTTTTCCTTATAGGAGTTGCCATGGTCGTGGTGTCTCTTCACAGCAACAGAAACCCTAGCTAAGACGTCCCTGAAGGGAAAGTGGTTCTTACCTCATCACCATACTGCACGTATTTGTTAAACTCATCCTTCCAGTACCAAAGCCACGTGGTGCTGAAGACGGAATTAACTGACTGTGCGTCAAATGAAGGCGTGGAGAGGCGTCGGATGGGGAAATAGTCGCAAGTCATTTTCTGGAAATTGATCTGATACTCTCCTATCATAACGCTGAAAGAGAAGGTGGAAAATTAACAACACTTCAATGAGCTGTCTTGTACGTTCTGGTCACCTGTACCACAAACACGGATTTACATTTTAGGGCTGCAATGGATCTTTAAATGTTCTTTCACTGTTTCTGTCTCTTTCATTCTAAATGGCACTGGGTATTTCTCTATACAGCTCCTGGTCTTACACATAATAGAAAAACTGAAATACAGACAGGTAATTTGTCTGCGCTAAATATGTAATGGTTTCCAAAAGATGTATTCCTGCTTGGCATGGGGTCAACTTTAATCCCAGCTCTCTAGTAGAGGCAGATGAATCTCTATGAGTTTGAGGCCAGCCTGGCCTACCTAGTGAGGGCCTGGCTCAAAAAAATTTTTAACTAATTAATTTTTTTAAAATATTAAAGTTAGCCGGGCAGTGGTGGCTCACCCCTTTAATCCCAGCACTCAGCAGGCAGAGTCTCTGTGAGTTCGAGACCAGCCTGGTCTATAAGAGTGAGTTCCAGGACAGCTTCCAAAGGCCACAGAGAAACCCTGCCTCAAAAAACCAAAAAAAAAAAAAAAAGTCATTCATTCTACCCCCCACCCCCCACAAATCTCCAGTGGGCTAGAGCAAAGGGTCACTGTGCTTAAAAGCATTTGTGGTTCTTACAGAGGACTTGAGTTCAATTTCCAGCACTCACATGGAGACTCATGGCCATTTGCAACTCCAGTTCCAGGGAATCTACACATTCAGGCAAAAACATTCATATACAAAATGAAATAAAAAAAAAATCTTTACATAAAGAGAAATTAAACCCGGGTCCTCTGGAAGAGCAGTCGGTGCTCTTAACCACCGAGCCTTCGCTCCAGCCCTAAGACAGCTTTCTGGAGGTTATATGATACATAACTCCAAAAAACAGATTTAATTTGTATTTGTGTGTGTGTATGATGCTTTGTAGGTATGACTGATATATGTATTGTGTGAGGATGTACACATGTGTATAGAATGTGCGTGTGTGTATATATATGATGTGAGCATGTGTGCATAGTGTTTGCATGTTATGTGCATGTGTGTACAATGGGCATGTATGATGTGCATATGATATCTGTTTATGACATGCGTATGATATGTGTGTACATGTGTGTATATGATGTGTCTGTATATGGTGGGCATATGATATGCATGTATACATGTGTGTATATGATGTGTGTATGATGGACATGTGTGTGTGTATATGATGTGTGTGTGTGTGTGATGGACAGGTGTGTGTGTGTATGATGGGCACATGTGTGTATATGATATCTGTGTGTGACGTGCGTATAATATGCGTGTATACCTGTGTGTATATGATGTGTGTATGATGGACATGTGTGTGTGTGTATGATGTGTGTGTGTATGATGGACATGCGTGTGTGTATATGATGTGTGTGTGTGATGGACAGGCGTGTGTGTGTATGATGGGCACGTGTGTATATGATATCTGTGTGTGAGGTGTGTATAATATGCGTGTATACCTGAATGTGTGTGTGTGTGTGTGTGTGTGTGTGTGTGTGTGTATGATGTATGTGTGTATGGCGTGCCCACGCAGGCACACGCTGGAGGTCAGAGGACTACACTCAGAAGTCGTTCTCTCCTTCCACAGGGGATTCTGGGGTTCAATCGGTTTGTCTGCTTACAGGGAAAGCGCTTTCATGCACCTCCCAGCCATATTATTTTTAATATGATACACTGGTAGCTGTAATCCACACACAGACTCTCAAAGTTCCAAGAGTGCTAATGCTGCTGAGATGGACGTTTGATAATTGCTGTTCTACACGACAGCTCTTAGGCCCTTGGTCAGGACAGATCAGGGGATCTTTTGGTCATAGTTAGTGGACAACAATGTTGGTCACCGCCAGTCAAGGAAGCAGGGAAAGCAAGGCCAAGAATTCTGCTCAACTCTGCCCCCAACAATTCTATTCCTAAACATCAATAGTTTCAAGACTGAGAAACTGGGTTTACAGAGAGGAAAAGTATCTAACCTGGGGGAGGGGAGAAAGAAACGTCTCATCTACATATGAGAACAGCGTTTGCCGCCCTCTAGTGGCTGAAGGCACAACACAGGACAGCTACCAAATGTTTCTAAAATTCCACACGGCAAGGAAAGCCTGTGCACTTCCCTCTTGTACATCAAGAGTCAATGTGATCATGCGGCTGTCACCCTCACCCCCGCCAATACCAGCAAATGCAGGAACATAAGCAACCCTCTTGGAAACCTCCAGAACACAGAGATGGCATACAAAAAAATGTAGGTACAAAACAAACTTCTCAAAGCGCGCGCGCATGCGTGTGTGTGTGTGTGTGTGTGTGTGTGTGTGTGTGTGTGTGTGTGTGTGTGTGTGTGTGTGCGCGCGCGCATGCATGTGTACGTATGTGCATGGAGGCTAGAGGCCAAACTCAGACCCACCATGGTGTTTTGGGAGGGTTTGTTTTGTTTTGTTTTGTTTTTGTTTTTCAAGACAGGGTTTCTCTGTGGCTTTGGAGGCTATCCTGGAACTAGCTCTTGTAAACCAGGCTGGTGTCGAACTCAGAGATCCGCCTGTCTCTGCCTCTTAACAGCCAGGATTAAAGGTGTGCGCCACCAATGCCCAGCCCACCATGGTGTTTTGGAGACAGGGTCTTTCACTAACCTGGAACTCACCAGGTTAAATTGGGAATCACCTGCCTCAACTTTCACAGGGTTGGGATTACAAACACACCCTTCTGTGTGTTCTGGGGATTGAATTCAAGCATTTTTACTGCCTAAAGGTATCTCCTAAGCATCAAATCTTATTTCTAAATTAAGAAATTAAGCCAAAGGCTTATTTGTCCTGAATCACTTGACATTTCTTTTGAAATGTGTGTGTGTACATGCATGTGCATGTATTTATACGTATGTAGGGACCAGACAAAAACCATGGCTGTCATTCTTGATAGCTTCCACCCTGTTGGTTTAAGACAGGGTCTCACTGGCCTGAAGTTCACCAAGTAGGCTAGACTGGCTAACTGGTATACCCTAGGGATCCATCCCCGTGTCTCCTCCTCAGTGCTAGAACCACAAACATATATATAAACATGCATCCCTCTCCCCTCCAGCAAGAGTTGACGACCAAATCCAGGGCCTTCTGCTTATTAGGCAAGAGCTCTACACAGAGCTAACTCCTCAACAGCTGTCCAGCTTTTTGTTTGTTGGTTGGTTTTTGTTTTGTTTTGTTGAGATAGGGTTTCTCTATATAGCCCAGCTTTCTTGGACCTTGCTCTGTAGATTAGGCTAGCCTCAAACTCAAGCGATGCACCTACCTTTGCCTCTCAGGAGTGCTGGGATTAAAGGTGTGTGCCACTATGCACAGCGGTGTCTCTCTGGCTTTTTAAAAGCATGGGTTTGCAGGGTATAATTCAGGTTCTCATACTTGTTAGGCAAGCTCTTACCAACCAAACAGTTTGTCTCCTCGGCCTTAATTTAGTGTGTGTGTGTGTTTTTTTTTCAAATAATTTTTTGGTATGTGTTCTATCTGTATGAGTGATGGGCAAAGGACAGACAGCTGCCAGAGCAGCACCTTGTTTTTTTTCTATTATGTGACATATTCTGAGCTAACTGGCCACCAGCTTCTGGATATAGAAACGCTGGGATTCCAAACGTGTGTCACCTCATCTGGGTTTCTCATGGCTTCCAGGAATCAAACTCGGGTTGTCAGGCTTTTGAAACAAGTGCTTTCATCCAGTAAGCCACCTTCCTGGCCTCACTGACTGTTTTTGATAGTGAAGAGCTATCAAGAGTATGAACTAGGGGCTCAGTGGTTAAGAAGGTTGTTCTTCCAGAGGACCTGGGTTCAATTCTCAGCACTTGCATGGCAGCCCATAATTAACATCAATGAACATAAAATACAATTAAATGATAAAAAAAAGTATGAACTAGCTGGGTGGTGGCCCACACCCTTAATCCCAGCACTTGGGAGGTAGAGGCAGGTGGATCTCTGTGAGTTTGAGGCCAGACTGGTCTATAGAGTAAGTTCCAGGACAGCCACAGCTGTCTTGAAAAAGAAAAAGCAAAGCAAAAATACTGACCTCTGTACACTATTTTTCTATAGGATACACTGACAGATGAAACAATCATATGTTCATGTGACTCAAGCTACTAACTATTCCTCGAGTCCCTGACACTAGGTATACCACAGGCTGAGCTTGAAGCTTCCCTCTGTTCAAGGTGTAGACCCCATTAGCCACCAACTTACCTTTCAGTTTGGGGATCACAATAGGCCCGCTCGATATCCTCCATGTCCTGGAAGTCAACCCAAGAATTATCTATGAACAGCTGCCACCGGTAGGGCAGGTGGAAGTGGCTCTTGTTGCAGTTGCCTATGAAAACAGAGAAGGGGTTTACAGTTGGGTGTTGGGGTTTCTAACCAATTCAACTTCCCTGCTCAACTTCAAGTTCACTGCTGACGTCCTGTCAAGTCCAGCCTATCCTACTTGCCAGGCACTTCCCCACCATCCCTTCACTCACGCTGACCCCTGCTTGGATTGCACGTCATCTACTCTGGTTCTAATGGAAAACCATTAGAAAATAAAAGTTGGGCTGAAGAGATGGCTCAGAGGTTAAGAGCACTGGCTGCTCTTCCAGAGGACCTGAGTTCAATTCCCAGCAACCACATGGTGGCTCACAACCATTCGTCATGAGATCTGGTGCCCTCTTTATGACCTGCAGGGAATACATGCAGGCAGGATACTATATACATAATAAATAAATCTTTAAAGAAAATAAAAGTCTGGGCTGGAGAGATGGCTCAGTTAAGAGCACTGATTGTTCTTCCAGAGGACCTGGGTTCAATTCTCAGCACCCACATGGTGACTCACAGCTGTCTGTAGCTCCAGGTCCAAGGGACCAGATACCCTCTTCTGGCCTAGACAAGGAACTCTAGGGCAAGTGGCAGCCTTCTTTCTACCTAAGAGTCACCTTAGGGAGACTAGGATGAATCCCAGTAACTACTGTTATTCCATTATGATCTGTCTGGTATTTTAAATTCCTTAAATTCTGATACACAATTTGGGCTAGATGCCAGGTATTTGCTTATTTTAAGCAGCCTTCCTGCTTGTGGCTACTCTGGTGCCCACTTTAATTACAGACATTGAAGAAAAGTTGCATCATCGTTAAGTTTATGCTCCTAGCCCAAGCGATGGAAGATGCTAGAATGGACCCTTGCTGAGTGAGGAACGATTATAATCCCAGCCCACAGGAATACGGAAAATGGCTTTTCAAATTACCAGTGTCACACTTGTTTTATTTTTGAAATTCCATGTAGGTGTTGTATCATTCTGTTCCTTCCTGTCTTCCCTCCAGGGCCCCTTGCACCTCACCTCCTGGACCTGAATGGCCTTGAATTCATGGCCTCCTTTTCTCTAATTATTATTGTTGTCATATATGCGTATGTGTGTGAATATATAAACATAATCTTCTGGGATTTTTTTTTCTTTTTTCTTTCTTTCTTTTTTTTTAAGATCTATTTATTATGTGTTCCTGTGGGTCAGAGGAGGGCACCAGATCTCAGTATATATGGCTGTGAGCCACCATGTGGTTGCTGGGAATTGAACTCAGGACCTCTGGAAGAACAGCCAATGCTCTTAACCTCTGAGCCATCTCTCCAGCTCCCTGCTGGGATTTTTTATTTTTTAAATCCAGATGCCTATGGATGCTAGAAGAGGAAGTGGAGTTACAGATGGTTGTAAAACTGCGATATGGGTGCCAGGAACTTAATCCAGGTCCTCTACATAAGATCAACAGGTGCTCTTTACCTCTGAGGCATCTCTCCAGCACCTTAAATCACTGTAAAAATGTTTAAAAGATACATGGCTACTTTAAAATAAAAGGCACCACAGAGGGAATCAAAGAATGGGGCTGCTTGAGATTTAGGATTAAAAAAGTCATTAACAAAGAAGGAGGAGGAGGAGAAAGACAGCTCTGGAGGAGGAGGAGTTGTCTTCCTCAGTGGTGGGGGATACTAGTAAGCAGCTGTGCCCTGTAAGTAACCGAACTCGGCCTTGTGCACTTGTGCAAGCAGTCCTGACTAAACTCAGTGGCTCGTTACAAAAAAAAGGGACATGAATACCCAGGGAGGACTTGTTGGAAAGGGGGTGAGGTAGAAGAGGGAGAAGAATGAATGGGGGCAACAGGTGTTTGTGAAAATATCATCTGAAAAAGAATGACGAGAAAAGAGAGAGTAAAGACTGAAGGAGTAGGGAAAGAGCCAAGCCATAATGGAAAATGTTTTCTACAAAAATCAAAGCAGAATTACCCTATGATCCAATTCATTATCTGTTTACTCCAAAGCCGCAGTGTAGTCTTGGGCAAGCACTGGTGTGTGCCATGCTCAAAGCAGTATTCACAGTGGCTAAAGGATCTTTCAGAAAACACAACTTACTCTGATGACAACCCTTATACAGGTGGTCCTGACAGATTTCCTTTGGTCCATGATCATCCATCCTAGGGGACGTAGAACTTGCGATGGAGAACAGGGGATCTGCAAGACAAAAGAGGATGCCTGTGTGCCATCACTGACGATGTCTGCCCTCACAGTGAGAAAACCACCAGAAACCGCATCTACATTGGCAAGCACCCTGGGGTTCACGGGCTGCCCCTAAGAGTCCACACAGTCCCTCTGCAGAATGAAACAAAGACACTTGCAATTCTGAGGCAGGTAACTGTAACTTACACTCAGAGTCTGAGGTCCTCCTTGAGGGCTTACAAACTGGGCTCACAGTGGCATGTGTGGAGTTCTTGCCAAGGATCTCAGAGGCTGCAACTCTGTGGCTTGAGGAAGGTGGAGGTGTCTGAGGCAGCCTGCTGGCTGGTACAGCGGCAGTGATCTCCTCGGGCATAGCCAGGACCTGGCTTCTCAGACTCTGACCTCCAAAGCTCATAGCTTCTTTTCTTCCAGTGACTGCTGCTTTTACACCAAAGCCAGTGGCACTACTTTTAGAGACATCAGGAGTTTTGTTCATAATTTGACTGGAGCCATTTGGGTCACTATGGGTAGACTTACTAGCCCAGACTGTGTTTCCTCCATATTTACCACCCAGGAATGCCATGTCTTGGCCGCTGTCGGCGATGCTGTCGGCGACTCTGCTGGTGATCTGGAGATCCAGAAGGTTACCCGCACTCTTCCGATGGTTGCTAGGTAATATTTCTCCCAGACCGTTGGCTGTGGCCCTGTTACCTAGAATTCCTGAGGCTGTTCCTTCCATCTTCGCCCCACCAGCACAGCTATCAAAAAAAGGGACATGCTGCTTGTCATGGGCCTTACTTCTGTTCTTGACATCCATGTGGTACCCAGAAAGCTTATCTGTTTTCTTGGCCATGGCTTCAAGTGTTTGTGTCACATCGAGATGAAAGCCGCTGGCAGCTAGATTTGAGGATGAATCAGAACAACTCCTAGAAAATAGGCCACCTGGGTCCCCATTCTCTGAAAACTTCAGGCCTGCTCCTCGGAGACCGGCAGCCTTAGGTGACACTGAAGAAAGCTGTGCACAGTCTTGAGTCCCCAGGTACTTGAACTTCTGAGTGACATCTGCAGATACATCCTCCAGGGAACCCTTACAGCTAGTGGCATCTGGGCTAGGTGGACCAGATTCCGCAGGGGAGACAGTTGGGAGAAATTCTAGACTGTTCTGAAAGAACCGGTCTCTGCTTTTGCTTCTACCTCTGGCCCGGCCTCTGCGATGTGGTTGGGGAGCTGAAAAAGAGAAACCGAAAGAGAACTTCAAGCTCGGATCCTACCTCGATGTTCCTTTCGCTTGTCCAGGCGTGTGAGCCGAGTTCTCAACTGGGGCTACAGATCTTAGGATGGAGCTGGATTCCAGACTTCCTCCTCTAGTTCCCCTCAAGTTCAAATGTATTATCCAAAGTCAACACTGAAGGTGGAACATAGTGGCTCATGCCTACCATCCCAGTGCTTGGGAAGCTGAGGCGGGAGCCCAGCTGAGGCTACACAGCAAGTTCTAGGCCAGCCTACCCTACATTATGTATATTGAAGAGAAAAGAAAAGCTAAAGTCAGACTGATGAAGTAGGGTCTTCTCTCTAGAAAAATGATGGTTCCCATCTTCTGGAAGCTGAGAAGATGGAAAGAAAGGGCCAGAGTGTGAAGTCTGGGTGGGAGATGTACATATATGGTGTCCACTTTGGAAAAGGGGTTGGAAGTTATGGGTTTCTGTATGCTTACGAGAGCATGTGTACAGTCATGTAGTTAAAGCAAAACTCCTCCTATCATGATGGCTAACTCCACAGGTGAACTAGAAGGGACAATAAACACAGATCTTTGCTACACACAGTGAACCCACGCAGAACACATGAAAACCAGAATGTCTCTGCAGACACCCCCGCTCACAGCACTATGGTGCTGAAGTCAAGCTCCAGTGTGAAAACGGAGCGTGTGCTCTATGCTCAGCTCAAAAAACAAAACAAAACAAAACAAAACAAAAAACGTGGCTTTGGCAGCTGGGCGGTAGTGGCACACGCCTTTAATCCCAGCACTCGGAAGGCCTAGGCAGGTAGATCTCTGTGAGTTCAAGACCAGCCTGGTCTACAAGAGGTAGTTCCAGGACAGCCTCCAAAGCCACAGAGAAATCCTGTCTCGAAAATCGAAACAAAACAAAACGTAGCTTTGGATTCAATCTTCCCGGTGCTGTTCCATGTTCTAAGCATGATTCAAAGCTGCCTGCAATAAAAACTGCTTAATACTTCTGACTTTCTTGCTTGCTTGCTTCTTCTTCCTCGTTTTGGTTTTTCAAGACAGAGTTTCTCTGTGTAACAGAACCCTGGATGCCCTGGAACTTGCTTTGTAGACCAGGAGGCTGGCCTCAAGCGCACAGAGATCCATCTAGCTCTGCCTCCCAGTGCTGGGATTACAGGAGTGCACCAAGCCTGGCTGCTTAACCGTTTCCAAGTCCTTGTGCCTGAGTGAGGTTAATAAGCCCACCATTGTTCATAGTTTTGATGTGAGGAATAAGGATGAAGTATTCTGGGTGAAAGTTTCCGGTAAACTATAAATTATTCGCAAAACACAAGATGTAGTTTTTCCACTGGATAACTGCAACACCTTAGTGTCAGGTGATCCTGTATCTACTTTACAAAGACAAGGAGGACCAGCGTGATGGCTCATTTGGTAAAGGTGCCTGCCACAAAGCTTGAATAACCTGGGTTTAATCTGAGGGAAGAGATAACTCCTGTAAATTGTCCTCCGACCTCCATATGTGGCACACACACCCAAACAATATAGTTGTGCTGACTAATTTTATGCCAACCTCACACAGCTGGAGTTTTCTGAGAGGAGGGAAGCTCAACTGAGGAAAATGTCTCTATAAGATCAGCTGTAGGACATTTTCTTAATTAATGATTGATGAGGGAAGCCTCAGTCCACTGTGGGTGGTGCCACCCCTGGGCTGGTGGTTCTGAGTTCTATAAGGAAGCAGCAGGCTGAAGCCAGCCAGTGGTGGCCTTCGATTCCAGAACTCAGGAGGCAGAGGCCAGGACAGGCAGATCTCTGTGAGTCTGAGGCCAGCCTGCTCTACAAAAGTGAGCTCCAGGACAGCCAGAGCTGTTACACAGAGAAACCCTGTCTTGAAAAACAAAAGCAGGGAGGGAGCAGACTGAGAAGGGCATGAGGAGCCAGCCAGAGAGCAGCACCCTCGATGGCTTCTCCATCAGCTCCTGCCTCCAGGTTCCGGCCCTGCTTGAGTTCCGGCCCTGCTTGCCTTCAATAATGAACAGCAATATAGAAGCAAACGCCAAATAAACCCTTTCCTCCCCAAGTTACTTTGCTCATCACAACAATAGTAACCCAAACTAAGACAATAACCTAACTTAATTTAAATTAAAAGAGCACCATGGTATATAATAGGAAAATGCTTAACAAATGGCACCACTTCTGGCCCCTAGGACAGTGTTTCATGAAAACTCTGGTGGTGTCTGAACCTTGTGTGTCACGGGGGGGTTGGGGGGGTGGCAGAGATGCTACGGAACACAGCTTGGCGGCTCGTCGAAACAATTATCACATCTAGAAAGTGATCTGGACACTGGCTATACTCCTGAAAGGACCGGGAGCTGGGTCTCAAGGAAAAAGTTTAGCACCCACACTCATGGTGGCACTCTCCCCACAGTGGCTACCACGGAGAAACAAAGCAAGCCTCCATCAGCAAACCACTGAATAAACAAGATGGGGTGAAGCCATAGTGTGGACACTGAGTAGCCTCAAACAATGAAGGGAGGGCGTGGGGGGTGGATCACTGCTGGAACATCCTTGCTGCTAGCACAAAGACATGTTGGGCTACTCACAACTGCCTACAACCCCAGCTCTGGGGAGAGCTGACGTCTTGGCCTCTGCAGGCACCTGCACTCAAATGCATATACCTATGCCAACTGCCACACGAATCACACATACACAATTTTTTAGATGATAAAACAGCCGGGCAGTGGTGGCACACGCCTTTGATCCCAGCACTCGGGAGGCCGAGGCAGACGGATCTCTGTGAGTTGGAGACCAGCCTGGTCTACAAGAGCTAGTTCCAGGACAGCCTCCAAAGCCACAGAGAAATCCTGTCTTGAAATCCGTCCCACCCCTTGCAAAAAAACAAACAAAAAACTGATAAAATAAATCTAAAAAATATATTTAAAGGAAAGTAATTACTTTAAAACCAGGGGCTATAGCTACTTGCAAATCATTGTTTCGATTATATTGAAGTGGTGTGTGTGTATGGAAAGGTGTGGAAGGGAAAAATGAGGTTTCTGTATAGCAAAACTGAGGTTTCACAGGTAATTTCTTTCCTTGTTAATTTCTATTTGAAAGCTCACACAATTAAAAGGGGAAAAGGCACACCTCTCATGGCGGGTGGGTTCCTCCGAGAGTGCTTGCTGTTGCAGATGTCCTGGATGTTCTGGACCACATCAGAACTCAGCCCGTGTTCCTTCATGATGGCCAACACCTTTCTGTCCATCAGGTTGTGAGACCTGAGGCAGTTGAGATAACTGCAGTTGCCCCGGGTGAAGTGCTCACAGATGTGGAGTCTCTCACATGGCTGTGGTTGTCCGCATATCTGTTTGCGGCCCTCTCCTTTGTAACTTTTGCATATCTGCAGAGGGGGGAAGAACAAGAGGCAAGAATATATTCTACCTGCCATGCCGGTTAAATGCACGAGCCCCCTTCCTGTAAAAAGCAGAGGTGTACCCAGAGGAAACAGTGCACACACAGCCCACCTCTTTGAGGAGATGGAATGAACTGGGGACTCATTTGGGGACAGGGGAGAATATGCAGACCAGTCAACAGATGACAACCGTGCATGGTGGTGCACACCTACAACCCAGCTCTCAGGAGGCCAAGGCAAAGAGGGTCACCAAGCTCAATGCAAAACCTCACATTTAAAAGAAAAGAAACATAAGGGAAAAAAACAGTGATGAGTTTGGTAATTCTTGGAAGAATCAGATGCATATAGGAGCCCAAGAGGAAGTCTAGTCTGGATCCTGACTTACTCTATAGTTAAAAAGACATGTGTATCTTACCTGCAACTTTGGGATTTTTGTCATTTGGTCTCTGGTAGCCAGCGCAGGACTTTTTCAAATGATTTGTATGTGAGGGGGTGGGGTAGTGGGAAGAAGAAACAGAAGAGGAAAATAAAGAGATGGAGGCAGGTCTCACTACGTAGCTCTGGTTGGCCTGGAACTTTCTATGCAGACCAGGCTTGGCCTTAAACTCTTGGAGGTTCACCTGCCTCTGCCTGCCAGCTACTGGGATTAAAGGTGTGCACACCCCTTTTCCATTTTGTTTTTGTTAGCTGGGATTAAAGGCACACATCACTGTACCCAGCCTTGGTTTTCAGTTTTTTTGAGACAAGGTTGTATTATGTAGCACAGGCTAGACTTTAACAGACAGTCCTCCTCTGAGATCCCCAAATGCTGGGACTGCAGGCATGCTCCACCATAGCCAGTTCAGTAAGGAAACTGACTACAGTCTATCTAAACCGATGGTTCTCAACCTGTGGGTCCCAACCCTTTAGGGAATCGCATATCAGATGTTTACATTATTATTCAAAATAACAGCAAAACTCCATTTCTGAAGCAGCAGTGAAATGATTTTCTGGTTGGGGGGTCACTACAACACGAAGAACTGTATTAAAGGGTCGCAGCGTTAGGAAGGTTGAGGACTGCTGCTCTAAACATGCAACTCTGCAGAGGTGGAGCTCCTGCTGAAGACAGAGACCAGAGCCAGGCAGAGGTGGCCCACGCCTTTAATCCCAGCACTTGGGAAGCAGAGGCAGGTGGTTTAAAGGCCAAGGTCCACGAATCAGCAGGGGGACCTTATGGGCCCAGCAATCCTCTAGCTTGTTTCCTTTTCAACAGCAGAAGGAAAATAGTTGTTCTGCTGGCCTGCCTAAAATCTGCTGTGAAGCAGAGTAAACGACAAAACAGAAGACTGTGTTATACAAAATAAGGAGTGTGAGGCTAGTATTTAAACCATTAGATGAGGAGCCCTGTATGACTTGTGACAAACAATGACCAGGAGAGGAAGTGTACACCTTAATCCCAGCACTAGGAAGGCAGAAGCAGGTAGATATCTGTGAGTTCAAGCTACCCAGTGAGACCCTGTCTCAAAAAAGTTACACATCCAAGGAGCAGGGACGTATAGTACATTGCCTGTAATCCTAGCATGTAGCAGCTAAGGCCTGAGAATCAGGAGTTCAAGACTAGCATAGGCTAGTTGAGAGAGTTTCAGGACATTTTGAGCTACAAAGGACAACTTGGGGGAGTCAGTTCTCTCCTATCATTCTCTTGTACAGCAATACAACATGTACCTCCATCTTTACAACTTCAATTCAAAGGCCACCCTGATGTAATAATAAAGCATCAACCAATCTGACTACGACTGTCTTCAACCCATTCTTGTTCTCAATGGAATTCCTGGCACCCCGTGGTGCTGGGATCTGGACCCAAATCTGTTGAGACAGGGTCTCACCGGTAGCCTTGACTGGCCTGGAACTTGCTATGGAGACAGAGCTAGTCTCAGGCTCATATAGATCTGTCTGCCTCTGCCGCCCAAGGTTGCTGAGATTAGAGGTGAGCATCACAGGCCTGGTTTGCTCATAACACTCTTGCCCGCTGCTTAAACTGGGAATCAGGACCTACCTCAGGCATGAAAAACGGGTCGCTCTGGACCAGGAGTACTGCCAGCTCCTCCTGGTTAAGCCCAGAGAGCTCATGATTCTTCAAGACCTGGAAGTTCTGTTCCGAGAGAACTTCGTGAGAATATTTGCAAAGGTTCCTGGAAAAAAGGAGACCTGTCAGTACCTGCATTTCACAAAAGACATGAAAAGAAGGCAGCCACAGACACAGGACACAGATGTAGGAGGAGGACTGGGGGAGAGAGGGAGGAAGGCATCCTGAGTTCTAAGGGAAGGGAAGGAGGGAAAGAAAGGGACTAATTACCATGAGGATGGGGGTGGGGCAGGCAGGGGCCTTGGGAGAGGGGAACAAATAAGACCAAAGTGTGATAGTATGGGTGCATGAAAGCACAATAATGAAATCCATTCCTGCCGGGTGGTGGTGGCTGCGCACACCTTTAATCCCAGCACTCAGGAGGCAGAGGCAGGTGGATCTCTGTGAGTTCAAGGCCAGCCATGGTTGTTACTCAGAGAATCCCCCAATGACAAATCCATTACTTCATATGCTAGCCTAAAATTAAGAACTGAATTTTGAAAGAGTGGATTTCAGTGGTAGAGCACCTGCTTAGCGTGTCTAAGGTAGATTAAACTTTTGCTCAGCAAAGATAAGTGTGTGGCCTTCAGTCATTAACACAGGTTAATCAATCCTGCAGAAAGAATGCAATTTTCAAAGGTACACTGGTCCAGCCAGATGGCACAATGGGTAAAAGTAAATTAAGATTTGCCCACAAACCTGATGACCTCAATTTGATTGCACACACACAAATACAAATCTGATGACCTCAGTTTGATTGCACACACACAAATATGTACTTAAACAAAAACAAGGTCTCACTGGATAATATCAGCTGGCCTGACACCTGATACCAGACCATGCTGGTCTCAAACTCACGGTGATCTGCATGCCTCTGCCTCAGAATTAAAAAAAAAAAATAAAAAGAAAAAGGAAATGCATAGAAAGAAAGAAAGAAGTGTGTGGCACATGATTTAAAACCCAGAACTTGGGAGGCATAGATGGGAGTTTGAAGCCAGCCTTATTTACATAGCTAGTTCCAGGCCAACTAGGGCCACAAAGAGAGACCCTGACTTAAAAAAAAAAAAAAAATTTAGTGCCAGGTGTTGGTGGTGCACGCCTTTAATTCCAGCACTCAGGATGCAGAGGCAGGCGGATCTCTGTGAGTTCAAGGCCAGCCTGGCCTACAAGAGCAAGTTCCAGGACAGGCTCCAAAGCAATACAGAGAAACCCTGTCTCAAAAAAACAAACAAATAAACAAAAAAACTTATTAGTAAGTAAAATGATGATGATAGCAATGGTGATATATTTACCAAACAGCTAAATCAGGAGGGTGCACAATTCTTTACTCATGCACACATAACATCTGACCTTAGCTGTTAGAATACTTCTTTTGCACATAGCTGTGAAAGAAGAAAAAACCGCATAGGAATGAGAAACAACCTGTTCAGAAGTCATGGCCCACTGAGGAGCAAACATCACCAAGAGGCTAGCAGATGGCCTAATGGTCACAAGAGCCCTCAGTGCCCTTCCAGAGGACCCAAGTTTGGTTCCCAGCACCCACACCAGATGGTTCATTCTTAGAATATTGTTTTGACTAATCTGTTTTGTTTTGAAACCAATGGTGATCATTTATGTGTCCTTTACAACATAAAATATTAGCACAAACAATTCACAATAATGTTGGCTACTCCTGTTCAGAAGATCCTTAATGAGCTTAACTACTTTTGTACATACAAATGTTACTCAAGAGTGTCTCAATTTCTGTAAAATAGCACATAACTGTTGCCTCTATAAATGATACTACATATTACCTGTGTTGAGATTGTGTTAAAATATCTGGTTCTGGACAGAAAACTGAAGGGCTTAGTCCAATTTTTAATTAAAATTTTCCCTTTAACAGTTGTCCTTCATTGCTAAATATTGCCTGCCCCACAAATAAAGTTCAGCTGTTTACTCCTGGCAAACTGAAATGCAAAATGATTTTCTTGAAACTGGTGGGTTTTGACATAAACATCCAGGCGGAAATCAGTCTCTAAGAATTACTCTTGCCAGGTGGTGGTAGTGACACACACACATACACACACACATGCTCGCACTCGCATCTTTAATCCCAGCACTCAGGAGGCAGAGGCAGGCAGATGGGGTTTGAGGCCAGCCTGGTCTACAGAAGGAGTTCTAGAGCAGCCAGGGCTGCACGAAACCTTGTCTCAAAAAAGAAAAACAAATGAGCAAAAAGACAGAGAATTAGTTTTGAGAAATCATCCATGTGGGCTAGAGATAACAGCTCCATCAGTAAAGTGCAGGCCTTGCCATCATGACAACCTTCGTTCAAATATACATAAAAAAAAAAAGCCACCTGACTAGCTTCTTTGCAATCCCAGGCCTGGAGAAGCACACAGGCAGATCCCTAGAGCTCAGTAGTCAGCTAACTCAGTCACTTGATGAGTTCCAACTCAGGGACAAAACCTGTCTCAAAATAAAGTGGACAGCTCCTGAGGAATGAGGCCCTACACAAACATGTGTGTGCCTGTACATACACATACATACAGAAATACAGAAATGCAGACAGACAGACAGACAGACAGACACACACACACACACACACACACACACACACACACACACACACCACTTACAGGAATGTTATTAAGCCTCCAGAGGTACCAGAACCTTTAAAAAAAATTACAGACACAAGCCCGTTGACCACTAGCTGGCCAGCCAGCCCTTCCAGGCCCTTTTTTGGCAAGGAAAGGTGAAGGGCTGCTCACGGCCTGCGTCCATCCTTGCCATTTTCCCAGCCAGCCCGCCTCTCACCTCCCCACTGCCTACCATGCCTTGTAGTGTATCTCTGCTGCTCCTTGATAAGGCTGACCTCAGCCCTGCTAACTTACAGCTTCTGCTCTGTGGTTTCAGATAACGGCTCCCACCAGCCTCTACCCACCAAGAACCCTTGCAGCTGGGCAGAAACTCCACCTTATCACCCTGAAGCCACAGAGAGGATCTGAGGAGACTGCTAAGCAGAAAAGCCCTCTCCCCCTCACCCTGTTATAGCTTTGCAAGAGGTGTAGGAGTTCCCTTACCTTGCCACCGAGAGGCCTCACTTCACTGGTCCCATAGCCATTCCCATTAAGGTTCTGTTTGTTACAGATCTGAAGCACCTGCCCAGGGCCAGCACAGTGGCTCAGTGGGTAATGCCACCCCCACTCCCACAGACAAACAGGTTCCATCTCCTGACTTTGACATCTCCTGAGATTGACAACCGTTAGTCAAAGAGTAGAGAATCCTTGCTTTCCTTTTGAGTCCAGCCCAGACATCCTGACCACAGAGAGCCTATGGGGCTCCCTCTGTTTGGAAGCCCACTCAAGGCATGGATGTCTAAAAGAAGAGTTGGTTTAGGCCACCTGTTGTCCTTGATGCTGTCCTTCTGATGGCTCCAGTTTTGCTTTTTATTTCTCATCTCCATCCTTAGGTCTTCACCTCAAACTCAGCTTCCGTCTGCTGCATCTGTCTAGTCTGGATGTGGCTGGCACCCCATCCCCAGCAGGCTCTGCTGCTTCCCCCATAGGCTCCACGCAGCCCCTCCACTGCTTTTTAGGATTTTATTAGTTTGTAAGGTTTATTTATTATGTACACAGCATTCTGCCTGCATGTATGCCTGCATGTCAGCAGAGGGCACCAGATCTCAATATAGATGATTGTGAGTCACCATGTGGTTGCTGGGAATTGAACTCATGACCTCTGGAAGAGCAGCCAGTGCTCTTAACCTCTGTGCCATTCTCTCCAGCCCTTCTAACAGGTTTTTAATCTTGGTTCTCATTTCAGTACAGCAATCAGCCACAAAGGCAGGCAGTTTGTGCTTGCTGACTATCTAAGGAAATACAGAAATTAAAATCTATCATGTTTCCTGCCTGGGAGCTTAGCAATTACAATAACCCTAACTCGGGCAACTAAGGCCCAGCAGACTGCAACCTCAAGAGCGAGGTGGGTAACAGGAAAGAGCAGGTCATTAAACTCAGATGTCAAAGGCAAGAGGAAGGGAAGGGGACAGAGACCTCTAATCTGCAAAACTGAACGTGGGTAGCTCAGAAACTTACAAACGAAACAAGTGGGGAAGTCTGAAGCCATTGCTCCCCCTTACTAGAAAACTGGGTGCAGAGTAAAAGGATAAAGGCTAAAGTTCAATCGGGCAGAGGGATGAGAAAGGCTCAGCTGCCGGTCTAATTAGAGCTAAGGCTGAAGCCTCCTTTCCTTTCCTCACCATTCGGTCTGATTCAGAACCCTGACACACAGCTGACAGCCAGGACTGGCGTCAGAGTCGCCCAGGGATAGTGTCTCTCAAAGTGTTCCTCTGAGGGAATCAACAGGGACGCTGTCAGAAATGCAACCTCTGGGTCCCATCCCAGACCTGCCAGGTGAGGCTTCACTTACAGCATACAAAAGAATAGTCTAGATCCAGAGGGTCTGCCAGACTGACTGGCAGGGGCCCAGGCCAGTTCTGAAACAGTCTGTCTGAAGAAGGGGGCTGGAACTTCCTGGTGATGCTAGAAGTAGCCATGGTTCCCTCCCCTCAGGGGACAATGGCTCTTGGGGAGAGGGTTGATTAAAGCCTCGGGTGCGTCCCCCCCCCCAGACAGAAAGAGAGTTGTTTACAATCCTGCATGAATTGCCTAGGACAATGCAAACATTTGTAGAGCGCTGCTGGCACCCCGCAGATACACAAGCAAGCAAGCTCCTGTCACAGGAAATGGTAACTTTGAAAAAGAAGCAAAGATGGAGCATCTCTGACACCCCAAGCCTAACAATAAATGACCATTCTCCTTTGCCTTCTAGCCACAAAACAAAATGTTGCTTTAACCCAGCAGGCCACACTCCCCCACCCGCCCTGTCCCCCCTGAAGGGTGTGGCCTACCAATCTAGCCTGGAAAATGGTTTCTGTCCCAGGCAGCACATAATCCCCAATTGAGGACTGTTTTAAAATGTCTGAACCCAGTCACACCTACAGACTGCTTGAATCTCACTGGTGTGAGGCCCCAAGAGAGTCTAATATGTTTTCTGGGCCCGGGGTTGGGCTTTTCAATTCTGGGT